GCCTCCGGAAGCCCCAAGAGGCCCAAAAGAGGCCCCAAGAGGCCCCACAACGGCCCCCAAGAGGCTTCAAGTTGCCTTCCAGACGCCCCCGAGAGGTCAACCACGAGATCCCAACCAACATCCATAAGGCCTCCTCCTCCTCCTCCCCCTTCACCCTTCCTCCTCCTACTCCCTTCAGCCTCCTTCTCCTCCTCCTCCTCCTCCTCCTACTCCTCCTGCCCCCCCCCTCGTGTTGTCTTTCGTCATCTTCAGGGTCAGCGGCAACGGCCGTAAGGCCTTCGCAATAAAATCGGCCGATTGCACACGGTTCGCTACATCGCCCGCCACTACATCTGCGAATCACATGTGCTGCATCCCAATGTACTATGCCGACGTAGAGAATTATCCACCGCGGGTGCTGGCACACATGCCAGCAGACTGCATGCGGTGCGGATGCCTGGCGCTCCCGTCGATCCCCCTCATCCTCCTCCCCGACCTCGTCCTACATCCACCCACCTTGTCCTAAATCCCCCTACCTGGTCCTACATCCTCCTACCTCCTTGTGCCCCCCCCATTCCCCTTCTCCTACCTCTTGTTCATCCTCCCCCTTGTCCTCCTCCTCCGAAGAAAACGAAAAAGAAGAACGTCCAAGGAGACTGAAGAATATCCGATCATACCACACACACACAAACAAAAAAAAAAAAAAAAAAAAAACATGGCAGATAGAACTCGACGATATTCTAGAACGCCCAAACAATACCCGATACAACACCAGGGTTATCCAAGAATCTTGAAGGATAGCCAAGAATACCCAAGAATACGGAGTAGCACCCAAAGACACCCAAGACATCAAATAAAGCAGAAGAGTGTCAAGAAGAATACCCAACAATGCCACATACTATCCAACTAGACCGCTGAATTTCCCAGAATACCCGAATACCACAGAATACCCAAGACTACCACAGATCACCCACAGAACACATAATGCAACAGAGCAATACTTCTGGGGAGCTTCACAGAAACTTCTGGGAAGCTTCACAGAAGCTGATCAAACAATTCTGCGAAACTTATCAGAAGCTTCTCGGAAGCTACAATATCCGAATATTCTCGGATGTTTCTCAGAAGCTTCTCGGGAGCTTCTGGGAAACTTCTTGGAAGTTTCTGGGATGCTTCTCTGGTTGTAGTATGGCGTTCGCCGTGGATTTGCTGCAGGAATCCAACACGTTGGGGCCAGCCCAGCTCCCGTGGCTGCAATCCTTCCCAAGCGGTTCGTGAACGGACCGATGTGGTTGGGATCGGCCTCGATCTCATCACTCGCTCGACCAAGCGCCCCTTCACGGGGCACGGATGCCACCGGGCGACAGGCGACAGGAGGAGGGGGGGGGGGAGGAGGATCCCGTGCTCTCGTTCCCCTGCTGGGCCTCGGGGAGGCTCCTGCTGGCCGTGGCTGGGAGCTAAAACAGGGCTAGGATCGGGATAACTCGCTCCAGAGCGTTCCGGTGCGTTCTCAGAGCGTTCCGGAACGCTCTGGAGCGGCCGCGGCGCCCAATACATCCTCCAAACCCGCCGATTCTCAGAAATTTCGAGTTATCCCGATCCGATTTTGTCCCGATCTTCGCGTCGTTTGAGACGTGCACCCCGCTGGGATCGACCCGCCTGCGCGCCCTCACGGAGGGCGTCGCCCGCTCCGGCCGCCGGGAGCTCCCGCGAGCGGGCCCGCAGGAGCCCCAGAGGAGCCTGGCCTCGGGCACCGCCCGGAGGCGGGCAGCTGCACGCGGGGGGCGCACCGGCGGGGCGGGGCCGCCGAAAAGCCCCGAGAGAGGGGGGGAGGGGGAGGGGGGGAGGGGGGGGGGGAGGGGGAGGGGAGGAGGGGGAGGGGAGGGGGGTGGGAGGGGGGGGGGAGGGGGGGAGGGGGAGGGGGTGGGGGAGGGGACGGAGCGAGCTGGCCCGGGCCTCGGAGCCTGGACGGGCGCGCCCGCGAGCGAGCAGGCCGGGGGGGGAGCGGGTTCCACGGCGGGGGCACGGGCGCCTCCGCCGGGAGTCGGGGGGCAGCGATCCGAGCGGGGAGGCGGGCGAGCCACGGGGAGGGGAGGGCGGCCAAAGGGATCGCCACCCGAGAGGTCTGCATCCTCCTCCAACTCCGACATGGGATACTCCTCCTACATCAATCCTACCTCATCCTCCTCTTCATCGTCTTCTTCTTCTTCTTCCTCCTCCTCCTCCTCCTCCTCCTCCTCCTCCTCCTCATCCTCCCAACCACCACCACCATTCCACCACCATCATCACCATCATCATCATCATCATCATCATCATCATCATCATCATCATCATCATCACCACCACCATTATCATCATCAGCAACAGCATCATCACCACCACCACCACCATCATTATCATCATCATCATCATCATCATCATCATCATCATCATCATCATCATCATCATCATCATCATCATCATCATCATCATCGTCGTCGTCATCATCATCATCGTCGTCATCATCGTCATCATCATCATCATCATCAGCATCAGCATCATCATCATCATCAGCATCATCATCATCATTATCATCCTCATCATCATCATCATCATCATCGTCATCATCGTCATCATCGTCATCATCATCAGCATCATCATCATTATTATCATCATCATCATCATCATCATCATCATCATCATCATCATCAGCAGCAGGTGCTCAGCCTCCTCGCCCTCCTCCACCTCCTCCTCCTCCTTGGGCTCCTCGTGGATTTCGAGAGCCGCCGCCGCCGCCGAACTCCCGCTGCGCTCCCACACGCTTCTCCCCCGATCCGTCCTCGGCATCTCCCCGCGAGCCCATTGGTCCCTCCTCCATGTCTCGGGGGTGGACGAAAGAGTGCAGGAAAAATAGCAGGAGGAGGAGGAGGAGGAAGAGGAGGAGGAGGAGGAGGAGGAGGAGGAAAAGGAGGAGGCGGAGGAGGAGGTCCAGCATCTCGTCCCTTACTGCGTGGATGTGTGGGACGGGATCATCAGTGGGAGGATGATTCTAACACGTTCCCAGCACCTGCGTCGCAGAATTACGACTACGAGAGTCTGCTGCTAGCTGCCTCTCTCTTACGGGCAAGTGCTTTCAGAACTACAGGCTGGCCTACTCAGGCCGGCCTTGACCCGCTTTGCCGCCAGCGCCGACCATGCTACACACAACTGGAGGGGTGGGATAACAGGAGGTGATGGGAGGTAGAGTCGGTAACTGCTCTACCCCCCCATTGGGTCTCCGTGGGCGGGCCCTCCCCGTATACCCTGGGGACCCCGCAACACCCAAGGCAAAGAGGGACGCGCTGCGGCTTGCCTCGGCCAACTGTCTCACGACACGGACTTACACTGCCCCATGCTGCCCAGGGGTGCTCTCCCTTGTGCAAGAGATTGAGCGGATCTTCAACACGGCTACCAGTTACCATACCGGCATCCCTGCACGGGTACGCTCGTGGGCCATGCTTGCAATGTCACCCGCGTGCGGCACCAGTCCACCTTCGGAGGGACGGGTGGTTCATGGGGTGGGGGATAGAACACCACTGGCAGCCAGATGCTCATTCTCTCACACCTTACGCAGGATGCCTGCATTTCATATCACGTCTCAGGCTGGCGTATTGAACAGCGCCAGCCTACACTGAACTTTCATTACTGACAGACGTGAAGTAGAATGCGGTACGATAGGCCAGCACCATTCGACAGTGCCAGCCTTCAGTTACAGTTGCAAAAAACAGCAGTGTCGCTTCAGGAATACAGCCTAGAGCTCTGCCATCATCATCCTATGACGATTTCAATTACAGACCTGCCAACACTGATTGCGCTAGCCTCAGCATCAGCCCGCACCCAACCAAAATCCATTCCATGTAAGCCCATTTCAGCGTCCACAGGCCAACAAATACAGCCTGTGCTAGTCCCAGTCTGCTCTGCACTACTCTTGCGCTTTCACTTTGGGTGGGATGGATCAGGATAGTATGTATGGGGATGGGGAATTCCGACGCCCTACCTTGCAGTCTCTTGAGCTGCTACCTAGCTACCCCAGTGGTTTACATTTACCTTGGGGAATGCTCAGTCCAACCCAAGCATTAAGTCGGGCGTGTCCCCTACAGGGGGATTTTGGACGAAAACTAAAAAATACTCCAAAAATGCTGAAATATTCCCCAAAAAAATGCCCCCCAGACTATTTTTTGACTATTTTTGAATATTCCCCCTGTAGAGGGACAGGCCCAACTTAACCCTAGCAGGCCAACCTGCTCGTGTCTTTCGAATTCTCCCGCGATCGGCTTCATCCTTCAGACTCTGTTTCGGCACGTACTTTCGACTCGATCTCTGCCCTCCCCTCCTACGTGTTGGTGGTCGGCACCTTCACTATACGCCCCTCTGGGCACTTCGCTGCTCCTATGCTATTTGCCTTTCCGACACCACACCGGCCTGCCGGCTAATTCACTACGTTCCCACTGCGCCTGAGTCGATCGTTGTTTCTTACGCCCGAGGTAAGCTACAGGCTTTGCACCTAGAGTCCGCCCAACCAAAACAACAACAAAAATGGAGGAGGAGGCGGAGGGGGAGCAGGAGGACCATGAGCAGGAGGAGGAGGAGGAGGTGCAGGGAATCGGCTGCACATGCAGCTGGATTTCCCGTCGACGGGCGGCGCCAGGAGCGGCCGTACACCGAGAGGCTGCCAAGCGGCGGGGCCGATGCCGGCTGCACTCAGCAGTGTTCGCACTCACCCCCCCATCTCATCCGCCCCATCTTTCCACCCGCACTCCTCATCGCATTCATCGGGCACCTCGCCGCTGGCGCCACCACCGCCGACGCCGTCGCCGCCGTCGCCGCCGTCGCGTCCACCTCGTCTGCCAGGCGGCGATCACGGCGCCAGCAGTGCAGACACGCAGCGGCGACTCCAATGGCGAATGCAGAGGCAGGAAACCCATGGCGGCAGCGTGCGCGACGGCGAGGGCGGCGGCGGCGGCGACGGCCCGCGCGGCGGCGACGGCGAGACGTCGCGCGCGCGCCTGTCGGAGGCGTGCGGGTTGCGGATGATGGGCAGGAAGACCGACTGGACGAGCGACACCAGCAGATGGTTGTTGTCCACGCCGGTGGTGGCCACGATGTTTGCGCCTTGGCTCTTCGCGGGCCCAAGGCTTCCGACGGTGCGGCCTCTCGGCGGCGCAGGCCACTGAGGCCCTCGACCCCCAGGCCCAGTCCTCGCCCTGGGCCAGTTCTGGTTGGTGGCTGCCCAGGGCCCAGAAACGACCCCCCCGAGGCCCGCACAGCGCGGAGGCCCCCCGTGGCAGCTTTCTGGCAGCGCCTGGAGGTGTGCGTCCAGCCGTGGCCACGGGGAGCTCCTCCCCGAGGCCAAGAAAAGCATGAACCAGGCGTGGCCCCATCCAAAACCTCCTCCTCCTCCTCCTCCTCCTCCTCCTCTTCCTCCTCCTCCTCCTCCTCCTCCTCACATCCTCGTCCTCCTCGTCGTCCTCCTCCTCCTCCTCCTCCTCCCACTCATTCCTCCTCCTCGCATCCTCTTCCTCCTGCCATTCGTCCTCCTCCTCCTCCTCCACCTCCTCCTCCTCCTCATCATCATCATCATCATCCTCCTCATCCTCCTCCATTCCCTTTCCTCATAGATAACATCTCCCTGTTGCACCCCGAGGCCAGTTTTTAGGGCGGGCTGGGCGTTTCGCCTCAGACTTCCTCACCACTTATGACTCTGAAGCTTAAAATTGACAACCGTTTCACAGATGGAGGGCGGGTCGTTTTCGAAATATGGCTCTCGCCTTTTTGTTTCACGGATTGAGGGCGAGTCGTTTTCGAAATATAGTTCTCGCCTTAGCGCCGTACAGACTCGTCTGAAAAGCTTGCAAGAGTTTCACGGATTGAGGGCGAGTGATTTTCAATATGTGGCTCTCGCCTTTTTCGCCGCACACATTTCTTTCAAAAGTGTTCAAGAGCTTCACGGATTGAGGGCGAGTGGTTTTCAAAATGTGGCTCTTAGCGCCGCGCATATTCGTCTTAAAAGTTGCAAGAACTTCACGGATTGAGGGCGAGTCGTTTTCGAAATGTGGCTCTCGCCTTAGCGCCGCGCACCTTCGTCTTAAAATATTGCAGGAGCTTCACGGATTGAGGGCGAGTCGTGTTCGAAATGTGGCTATCGCGTGAGCGCCGCGCACGTTCGTCTTAACAAATTGCAGGAGCTTCACGGGTTTCCATGATCAACGCACCAGGAATGGTGTTTTGGAGGGATTCAGGCTCATGAGGGTGAACAAATTATGTTGATTCGTGGCGTTCAAGTCCCAGCCACGGCGTTCTGGCACGAGTCAGGATCGTCAAGACGCAACAGTCGGGTTGATCCGTGGCGTTGGAAACCCGAGAACAATGTTTTGGCATGCTGCAGGGTCTTCAAACAGTTGTCTTCCAACGAGGCAGCTCCCTCAGTAGGAATGAATCGCTGCAGGGGCCTATGAAGAGGGAGCTTGGAGGGAGGGTTTATTCCAGGGTCGCTGATGCCTCTCGGGTT